GGGGGGGAGGGTTGGTAGATTGTCTTTGCATGAGCTAACTGCTAATTTCAAGGACTGTGATCAGCATTCCTTTGAGCTGCAGGCATGCCTGTCCAGGTTAATGTGCTTCTGTTATTGTGTGTCTCTGCAGCCAACCTGTCTGGCCGGTCAGGGGGAGCCTGGGATCAAGCCTTTGTCAGAGCCACATCACTTCTTCACTCGCATTTCTGTAACACTGAGACTCTGCAGGAGGCTATTATCAGGTCAGCACGGCAATGATGCAGTAGCTTTTGGTGTGAGAGGGTGGAGGGGGCAGGGGGATTTCTTCTTCTTCTACTCAAGTAAAGGTTAGAAGGGAGGGGGGGATTATTTGACAGTTTATCACGTCCATCCCTCTGAATCTAAACCTTCCCATAACTAGCGTGGATCTCGCTCTGACAGCTGATATTTACTGGTAAAAACCTCCCACACTGTTTGCCGCCTTTATTGTGTTTGTTTGTTGAAAAGCAGGCTTGAAATGTAAATGTGCGTGACATTATGTCGGCAGGAATGCCAGCACAGCTGTGTATGGAACCCGCAGCGTGGCCCAGGAGACTTACTTCCAGCAGAACGGAGGCTCGCTGAGGAACTCGGGCATCCCGAACCACCAGGACAGCGCTTTCTCGCTGCCCAGCAAGGCCCGGCACAGACTGCTGAAACACGGGGTTAACCTGCTCTGACAGGCCAGCGTCGGGTCGTTCAGGAGGAAATGTATTTCACTGGGAGAAGGACTGCCCTGTAAGTAACATTAAAGAAATAAAATGGAAAAAAAAGCTCTGCTGTAGGAAATTTTACAACAGGATTACATCTTCTTTGCTGCCCTCCAGCTGTGGTTTACTTGTTCCCATGACATGCTGTCCATTACCGTACGCTGTGGCACTGTGCTGTAAAACCCTCGTGGATCTCATATTCACAGCAGAACAGTTTTTTTTAATTTATATTGTAACTATAAATTTGCTATGACAGGATGCTTGTTAAAGCTTAGGCAAAGTAGGTTATGTTTACTTCCATGCTTGTATGAGTCTAATTTTATTTGTTACATTTAAAAAAAAATAATAAAGTAACTGTCTGCAGCAGATGTTTTTGTTGCTTTCACTCATGCATTTAGACTGAATCCTCTCCCACATTTGAGAAGAAAAACATGCTTGTTCGCTGCTCCTGTATTGGCTTATTTGTCTAGAAGTTCTAAAGCATTTTATAATCAACTCTATGTCAGCAATCAAAAAGTGTTATTTAAATATTTGGCTATTAGGACTGTGATTTGTCTTTATTGTTGCCATTTACACAAAATGTGTGTATTCGAAGGTTGTCTGAGAAGAGGTTTGCTGTGATGAACTTGTGTGTGTTTTAAAATAAAATGAATATGTGATCCGCTCTGAGTTGGCCTCTTATGAGCTACTTTTCTCATGACTTGTTGAAAACAGCTGGGGTTGCCTGACCTTCTTATGACTTCAGTGTGGAGCCTATTGTTTTCTGCCTCCTGCTTAATGCCTCCGTTCAAACGACCATGAACAGGTGTGTGCAAAGCGGTCTGAAATGCCAAACGCATGCCTGTAAGATGTTCATACTTTTGCTCTCTCAGAATATCCTCCCCTATACGTGTTCCGAGTAAGGTCGTTCTCGACCATCCGGCTATGGAGTAATTAGGGCAATTAGCTAAGTAGCTGAATGTGAATGGGCTTGCTCGGCGCTCTGGGGGCGCCTAATTATGCAGGCGCATTGAATAAAAGGCAGCGGGGGTCAAATGGGTGGGCAAGGCACGGACAAAAAGAGGGGCAGGGACTGTGAGGAGGGCCAGGATTCAAATTCTAAGTGGTGTGTTGTCCCCCCATTGTCAGTGGGGTATAATAGCGAGGTTCAAACTGGCCGCAGGGCTTTGGAGAGCTGGCATCAGAGAAGAAGTGGCCGCTCCTCGTCGCTGAACAGCACTGGGCGGAATTCGGGATTTCACCATGGCCTCTTCAAACTGCACGCGGATTACATCACTTTTCATTTTAATGATGCTGAGCTGCTGTGGAGTGTTCGGGCGCGCGGTGGGCACATCGGAGCTTTTGTCACGGGAGCCACACGAAGCGACTTTACGCACGGAGCGGTGCGCGGAACTGGAAGCACCTTGGCTGGAGAACACGCAAGAAGCTCGCGTGGATAGCGGGACGCGTTTGGAGATCAGCATGCGGCACTTTTCGGCGAGAACTTCACGTGGGTTGGTTTTTCCAGGAAAACCTCTGTTCGGCTTCGTCCGGCGCGTCTACCGCTGCTGTCAAGAACGAGAAAACTGCAGGAGGCTGAAAGGGATTCAAGGTCGCATGAGAGGAGGTAAGAAAAAAAAAGAGAGAATACACCCAGGCAAAAAGAAACTTTAACTTTTCACTTTAACTTCATGCTCGTCCTGTGGAGGTCAGATGTGCTGAGCGGGATTGATCCTGATGGGAGGGAGTAGCTCTAAAAATCCCCCAAACAAACAAAAAAACAACTAAAATCGAAGATCGAAGATAATCCCTGTGGTTAATCCTCCAAAACAGTTCAGTTCAATACATAAAACTAGCTGTGTGGTAACCACGGGAACGGACTCTTCACATCTGTAAGCATCAGCTGGCCTCCACACAGCTTCTTCTTACCTGCTATATTAAGAATCTTAATATTTCCAGAGTTTAAAAACAGTTGTGCTGCATATTAATCAGGAGAGAAGAGAAACTTTGTTCAGTAAACCATTCTGAATGGGTCTAATGAGCGATGAACTAAGTGAATAAATTACAGGGATGAATTGGTACCTAATTTAGCAGAAAATTAAGCAAAAGAAACACGAATAACACGAAGCAGCCACACACAGAGTTGGCATTCTGGCTTTTCCTCTGAAAAATATCATTTTTCAGCAGAGGTGAAGTGAAGACAGAAAGGTAGTTTGGGGGTGGCTAATGACTTGAATAATGCAGCTGTAGGGAGGACTGTTATCTGCACACAAATGAGTCTTAGCTGGCTTAATGTTCCCTTCAAGAATTGTTGAGACGTCCTGCTGACTCATTAACAAGGCATTAGGAGTGAAAACATCACCTCTGCTGCAGAGCCTGACATGAGTGAATGTGCTTCTCTGTGACATGAAGTGCTGTACCGTGACTCTGGCAGACTGTTAATTGCCTCTTCTCCGCCTCGCCAGATACGGGTGTGGAGTTTGTCCTCACCAGGGAGATCTTGTCGTTAACGGTTACAAGAGCCGAGCTTCACCTTCAGCTTTCCAACCCGCAACATCTGGACATCCGCCCTGTGCTTCCATCCATGGCGAAGCACAAGCTTCCTACAAGGTACAGGCTCAAAACGCAAGAAATGTACTTTTGGTGTTTTTCCACACAATCTTATTCAATATCCGGTAATATCGTTTGACTGATGGGCTCTGGGGATGGTTGGCCTGATTGTGACACTGTCTCTTGCCACCTTTAGGTACACTCTGGGGTCACGGGGTCACATCGTTGAATTGAGAGTGGACCTGCTGTTCCTTTTCCACAGCGCACAGGAGATCATGAGTGGTCGAAGGCGGGGCCCCAGCTTGACAAACATCTGGCGGGTGGTGTTTTTGTCCGGTGGAGATCCGCCGGGTGAAAACCCCTTTGTGAAGGATCCGCAGGACAACATGTTGGGGAGTCCTCCTCTGGATCTGGGCTTGGTCCTGGGTTGCAGTCAGGGTGGAACTGAGGTGTCGTGTAGAGCTGGTGGTGTTGACTTTACGCACACACCTTTCATGGCTCTTTATGTTGGATCAGGTTAACAGTTGGACCTGACTGTTTTTGCATGGCAGCATTCATCGGTTTATTGCCATTACCAGCTGAACACAAAAGGATGCACTTCAAATGTCAAAATGATTAATTTATAGGCTAAATCTTATGTAAACTATCTATTTCTCTCTCTATATATGTAAATATGTACATTGTAAATATGACATACTGTAAGTTTGTGTAATTTTGTGGTTATGAGACTCGCGTGGCCTCCTCAGTCTGCTTTGTTCAGCTGCTGTCCTCCTTTAGCTACGCATGAATCTGCCTCGTGCTTCTATTTAAAGAAGTTTTCACAGTTGGTGGGAAAAGAAGAAAAAAACAACACCTGGACAAACAAAGGGCTCGCACATGTGCTTCGACCATGCTGAACTGAGCTGCGATTATTCTGTTGATTTGTGAGGACGTATGGTTAGACCCTCGGACCCTGTGACACTTTTCTATCCTACCTCAGAAACTGATGATTATCATCGTTCACTTTTTTTTGTGATTTTCATTTGTTTACTCAAAATTTGCTTTGCTTGTGTGGTTGAACTGACCATAAAATAACTTATTGGCTACACAATAAATCAGCTATTAATAAAATTCTTTAGAC